AGTTGCTTTGAATTCTATTTTTTGCTATTGTTATTATTCAGAAAGTATACAGTCCCCTAAAATAATGCTATATTTATTAAGAAGTATTTAATACACACTTAATATGTGCGCCACAGTCTACTAATCATCTGGAAAATGCAAAGAAGTTTCAAATTCTCCCATAGAATAGTTGGCAAAGTATTTGGGGAATATGCAACCAAAAAAAAAAAAAAATAGAAGGTCAGTGTGCAATTAATTCCCAAAAGTTTGGTCAAAACAATTCTTGCCTAAGGAGTTTAGAAAGAAAAAATATGGTACAGAAGGTAAAATTTGATCAAGTCTTCAAGAATAAATAAATTGGCAGGGCGCAGTGGCTCACACCTGTAATCCCAGCACTTTGGGAGGTCAAGGCAGGTGGATCACCTGAGGTCAGGAGTTTGAGACCAGCCAGGCCAACATGGTGAAACCCCATCTCTACTGAAAATACAAAAATTAGCTGGGTATGGTGGTGGGTGCCTGTAATCCCAGCTACTTGGGAGACTGAGGCAGGAGAATCACTTGAACCCAGGAGGCGGCGGTTGCAGTGAGCCAAGATTGTGCCACTGCATTCCAGCCTGGGCAACAAGAGTGAGACTCCATTTAAAAAAAAAAAAAAAAAAAGAATAAATAAATTTGAGTGAGCAGAGAGAGGAAGAGAGGTAATTTCATGTTGGCAAGTACCTTGAACCAACAGGTAGATGTGAGAATGATTAAAGCACATTCAGAGATATATCAGTTTGGACTGTTTTTATGGCAAGTGAAGAAAACCAAAACCAAACTGACTTAAGCAAAAAAGGAAATGTATTCTTTTACATAACCTGAAAGGTTCACAGGTTGAGTCTGACTTCAGTGATGGATGGATCCAGCACTCAGTTAATGCTTGGTTTCTTGACATCTCCAGCCCTGCCCCCCTATGTTGGCTTTAGTTTCGGACTTCACATGGTACCCAGGATGGCAGAAGCAGCTCCAGGCCTGCCAATCTCTCAAAATTGGGATTCATTATAAATGTGAGGTTCCAGCAAAAGTCTTACCGTGTCCTATTGACGGAGTCGGGTGCCCATTTTGGGCCATTCATGGATATTGGGGAATGCAGTAAATTCAGGCTTACTCCTGAGTCACAAGCCCACCCCAACCCTACTCCCAGAGATAGGAGTAGGGTCAACTTCATTGGAATCATGGAATGTGGGAGTGAGGAGGTATCCAAAGGGAAATTAAAGTATAGTTAACCATAGGCAGAGTAAACAGATGCTGTGCTTGAAAATCAAGTGTCCACTAAAGGAAGACAATGACTCTACTTATGCCATAGGATCATTTTCAGTAATAATAGGTACTACACGCTGGAAGTTTTTATTGGAAGCACATTGCAAAGGCTAGGCCAAGGAAAGAAATTGGGCTTTATGAGGAGCTATAAATAAATTAATTGGACCTTGTAGAAATTGACTTGACAGCTGTGTGCAGAATGGACCAGAAGGTGGGTGCTCCAGAGAGAAGCAGATCACCTCTATTATATTTTCTCATATTTCAAAAGCCACAAAGTTTTTGAAGAAAGAGAACCAGATCGCCTTCATTGTTTCCCATCTTTCAAATGCCACAAAGTTCATAGAGTGTCTACTGTGTGCTGTGAACTGTGGAAAACGCAGAGACCATATCCAACGCTTGACCTTGGTCCTCCAAAGAGTCTACAAGGTGGTAGGGAAAACAGTTAATTAGGGTCAATTATGGTGCAGGCAGGATGAACAACAATAACGGTACTAGATTGTCATGGAAATAGAAAATAAAGAAGTTCCGAAAATACTTTCTCTAAGCAGAGTGGGCGGGGGCCGAGAAGGAAAGACCTGTGAGCAGTGATGCTGTCTGGAACACCTCTGAGAGCAAGTCAGTTGGGAGTCCTCAGTGCTGGTTTGAGAATATTATGAGGACCTGAGGGGTAGAAAACTGCACCTCTGTCATCAGACTCAGGTCTCCTTAGGAGTTTACGAGCATCAAAATTCAGAATGTGTTTACGGGATTGTCCACATGGTGGATCCTGTCTGCTTCTACAAAGAGAAGTTTCTCTGATCATCAAAGTGGAGAAGCCACTGTCTTTTGGCCTTTGATACTACCTGTGGCCGATGTCTTTCCCTAGCTCATGCTGGCTGGGAACAGAGAAGGGATGAGCTTCTGGGAGTGCAGTGAGTTTAATTTATCGTTTCAATAAACTTCAGAGTAAATGGGAAGAAACTGCTTGGGCTTTGCGCAGGAGAAGATTGAGTTCTGTTCCTAGTTAGCAATGCATATGGGCAAGTCTCTCTACATGCCTAGGCCTCAGCGTCCCTGCCTGTAAAGACAGAGCATTGGACAAAAATGCTTTATAAACCCTCATTCAACTCTAAGAGTCTGCAAATCCAATAGAGACAACTTTGAACCACTTATTCCATGACACATGCCCATGACCGTGATACATTTCCAAGAATAAGTGTCATGAACATCCTGGGAATCCATGCACCTGAAAGCTCAGGAGCCTTTGTGCATGAGGCCTTATCTACAAAGGTGAACATTTAGAAAGCTGCTGACTAGGGAAATCTGTAGGAGTGGCCAGAACTGACTGCTTCAACAGGGACAGGGCAAGGGCTTTCTAGGCAGGACAAGTAAGGAAGGGAATATGATTGTGCTTATAAGGATTTGCAGAAATGAAGGTGAAAATGAGGGTGAGGGGACCATCCAAGCATGGGCTCAACATTAAGTGCCACTGGCTTCTGCATAAACTGAATTACAGTATTTGTGGAGAATGGTGGGAGAATGGTGTATTTCAGTGGCTGCAGCTAAGAGTGTGAAGTATTGAGTGGGTAATGGGGAAATGAAGTAAATATCAAGAGGGCGCCAGTGAAACTAAAGGAAGGAGGGAAAGTACTGAGTTAAGTTCTAACGTGGGCTTTGTGCACGTTGCTTTTCTATAACCTGCAGTTATTTGATTTTAAAACAATATCTTACATCAAGTTGTAAAGAAAAGGACACCTCACATTTCTGGGAGTCTTGGCTGTTTAGAAAGCATTTGCACATCCATTTCTACCTATAGCAACTCTATGAGAGTGGAAAGGTGCTCCTTATTTAAAAGATGAGAAACCTGGGTGAATGGTCAGCAATGGACAGAGTGGGACCCAAAATCCCTGACGCAAAATCCCTGACAGAGTGGGACGCAAAAACCTGATGTGCTTTTCTTCCCCACATCTGACTGCCTCTGTTCACAATTCATTCCAATGCCAATGACTTTTTTCTTTCTCAAAGAGGTAGAAATAGAAAGATTTCTTATGACCAAGAGGTGTTTATATTACTCTTGGATTAACTACAAAATGCTTTTTATGTAAGGCAGACTAAATAGACGTCTGTTTTTTTTACAAACATTCAACTCTACACAAACAGAACATTTCAGTTTGCTTTGAAAGCAAAATACCATGTGTTGTAACTTTACAATGTTTTAAATAAAGTTAGGAATTTGGGTTTATGACACTGAAAATATCATAAAATCAATAGGTATAAGACTAACAACTATATGAGCGTCCTTAAAAATTCAACAAGTAGAATCAAAGGTAGACGTTTCAACAGACCAGTTACTGAATCATTGTATTAACAATCTAGTGAGACAAGAAGTGAATTATTGAAGTTTATCTTCCTCATTGGTTTGTAACACTGTTCATCCAGTGGGTGGATAGTGTCTAAAGTAGAGCAGTTCAGCCTAACGAAGCCATTTACTGTACTGGTTCTACACACTGCCTCTCTTTATCTCTTTATTACTTCGTTTGGAACTTTGATTGGCCTATTTTAGATCTAAGATTGCCCTAATGCTATACTGAAGTTGTATGAGGGGCTTAGTTTTCGCTTTGTTCTCAGAACCAGGCTGGCTATAAATTTATCTCTGTTCTTTGAAGGAGCTAACAGTAAATTTTCCAGAGGAAAAATGGTGGCGTATATCCCCATAGAGGAAAAGTAATCTCTTAAAAGCAGAATAACCTCCAGGCTACATCCTTTTAAAGAGGGATTTTCAAACAAGAACGCCTTCAACTTTTATATGCGTTCTATATTTTTCTTCAGACCTCATACCTACTCTTCTGCTTTCTGTGTAAGGTTTCTCTGTAATGACCCCATTTTCCCCCACACCCATTAAATCTGTGATGAAGTCATGCCGTCCCCCATTCTGATGTCATGGTAACTTCCAGAGCTACAGGCAGATAGCACATCCGGGGACTCATCAGAGGTCTCCTCAGGAAATTGAGGCATAGAGACTGGGAGTTGGAATACCTACAAAACCGAATCTCAGTTTCATAAATTACCACCTACTACGATGAAAATGAACTTTGTAAAGTGAAATCTGTGGGAAGGTTTCCACTTGGTTTAATTGCATTCAAAGCAGTGTTCAATTTCAGGCATTGGTTTCATTAAAATTAAACCAATCCTTCCCAGAAATTCATCCACACTCCCTCATCAACAGATAATAAGATCATTTAGAGTGAGGAGGTGCTAAAAGAACAGGATGAGCCGTGGCTCCGTTTCCATGTCTGACTGACAACTTCATCACCTTTCATCTGTATTATGCAGCTACCCGAGCTGCATGTTAATTGAAGTTGCCCAAGGGGGGTTTTTACACACAGGACTCAGGCACCCCTTTTCAGAGAAGATGGGGGTGTCCTCTGGCTAGCCTAGGAGCCACCAAGGGTAAATAAATGTGGAGCTAGCAAAAGTCTGGGGAGGGGTGGGGAAGGGTCAAACCCAGTACACCATCCATCCTGCCTGTGCCTGCAGCTGTCATGACCAGGTCCCTTAAAGACCTGGATTTGTGGGGAGCAGAGGGCTCCCCGAGAGTGGTGACTGTCAACAAAAAGTGTGCCATGATGGACAGGTGAACTTGGCCAGTGTATATTTTCTGACCTCAGAAAGTTCTAGAAAGAGTTTGTTTTACCATTTCCCTCGCCCTAATTGTCCTCTTTCTCATTTTATGCCCCTGCTAGACCACCGCTCTTGATAAGGAGAGGCAGGTTTTCCGACGAAGACGCAACCAGGATGTGAGGAGCCGGTACAAGGCGCAGCCAGCTCCTCCCGAACTCAACTCGGAATCGGAAGACTACTCCCCAAGCTCCTCCGAGACTGTTCGCTCCCCCAACTCGCCCTTTTAATAAGACCCTTTTACTCAAAGTCCTAGCTTAACCCTTTGAGACTCTGAGATTTTCTTCCCCCAAAATTTGTGTAAAACAGTTTCATCTGATCTATCTAGCGCTCAATGCTTGAATGGCAGAACTGAAAGTGTTTTCAGGTATCTTTGTAGCGGTTTCCCTTTACTGAATGAGATGACATGTGGTGATTGTGAAGATGGTAATTTGCTGCTAATAGAGTCCTCAAAGGGTTAAGGCCAATTTGCAATTTTTTTTTTTTAAACTTAGAAGCAATGAATGTTTTCATTAGTCAAGCTAGGATCTGCAGTATGTAATATAGCACTTGTTAACCCTCTGAGTGCATAGAATTTTATTGAGAATTCTTGTTGGGGAATTTTTCAGGTCTTTGGATGTATACACACATGTTTCTTGATTTTACTGCAGATCAAAGGGGTGTTGTTAGATGCTGAAATGTCCAGAAAAGAAGGACATTTAGAATGATATCTTGTTTGTCCTTTTCTGTGGGTTTAGAACATGGCAGGTTTATAACTTCGACACACGCACTATTCTTTCTTCTTCACAATCCTATTCAGAAACAGATTTTTTTTTTTCGTTAGAGATATGACTGTCAGTTGCAGTGAGTTCTGCATCCCAAGTGGAGGGAATTGGGTTTGTGGCAAAGAGCTTGACCCCGGAAATAGATGGTGCCCCCCCAAATTGTCTCCACATGAAGATGTACTGATGACGCCCCAGAAATGCTGCTTCCATATCAGCTGCTGCTAGCGCCAGCGCAGACTCTCAGGGAGTCACCATAGCTTGTCTTGTGCTTGGTGAGTGAGGGTCTCTCTACTCAGTGTCAGACATCTACAGGAAAGAAACAACTGGTGAAAAAGAGCAATAAATTGCCCGGTGCTCTGCAGGGCTGGAATTTCAAACAGTAAAAGGGAATAACATGCTGTCTCCTCACCCACCTGCCACCACGCACTGTGGTCATCACTGTGCAATCTACATCTAGTATGAAATCCACACATAGGAGAGCTGGGGCACAAGGGGCCTGGAGGCAGGTGCTTTGCAAGATGGCTGAGGAGAAAGCACACTGGGAACACAATCCAGAATGTTCTAACGATAAGTTTTCAGTGAATAAACCACTGGCAAGACAATTCCATGTGCACCTTTAGGTTACCTATATAGTCTCCCAGGAAGATCAGGATGAAAGACCTAGATGATATCCCTGAGGATAAAACCTCCATCTCCTAAAATGATTTTTTGTTATACCACTGTCTTTAGCTGTCCAGGAGGTCATAGTGTTTTTTCTGTCTTTGGGCCAAGTCCTGTCTGAGACCTGTATTTTCACTCCTGTCACCAAATCGATCTCCCTAGTGCAGAGTCTCCAGGCCTGAGTTTCTTCTGGAACAGATTCCATTTTGGAATGGGGTTTCGCAGGTTCTGTGCATCACCGCAGCGCTGAGAGAGGATTCTCCTGGCGTGTCTTAGAGGCAGGTGCCCAGCTCAAATGTGCGCCCAAGGTTTACTGGGCTCTGGGATCCATGAGACAACCAGGGAGGGATACCTCATGATATTTGCATCTGGTGGCTGAACAGTACCTGTGTTCTCTGTTTGAATATGTTTTAATACCTGAGAGTCTTAAAATTTGTGAACAACGTTTCTGTAGTCCTTTTTTTTCAAATGCACGTTGATATTCACTTGCTGCATTTTTACTCTTCAACCCTGAAACTATGGTCTACATTAATATGGATTTTTAAATCACATGTCATTACTTTTGCAACACCATCTCCAAAATTTTTTCTCTTTTACATTTAGGTTCATCTCTGTGGTCTGTGTTGTCCTGACATGTAAACAGCATATTATTTATTGAGGGTTTTCTTTCCCCCTTTTGGAGCATCCAGAAGCGATAACACACAAAATCACAAAGTAGCATAAATTAGTAAATTAGTTGAGTTGTTTTTTGGGGGGAGGTGGGGGTGGGGGCCACAGAACACCAGAAAGAGTGTTGGTGTGTAGGTAGATTCCATATTAATGAGGAACACTGAATTAGTTGGAAATTATTGCTTTCTCTAGAAATATAAAGCAAAGCACTATTCCAAGGCTACGGAGTAGCTCTACAGCCTGGCCTCAACTCTAAAAGTATGAAGAATGCAATGGGCAGAGACCTACCTGCAGTGGACTGTCATTTTCCTTTCTTTCTCTGAATTACTGCTTTTTCTGTGGGCATTAACTATATTGCTACAGCATCTAGTGTACTGAGCCTGCAGTGCATGGCTCAGGCCTTTTCCCATCAACGTCTAGGGGGACTCTGGACTGTGTGAAGCTGGGGAGCGTTTCTCAGCACACTGCAGAAGGGCAGCTCAGAAGAATGCAAGGCCCATTCAGCATGGGGATCCCAGCACATCACTGTAGAATTTGAGTGATCTATGCTGAATGAAGAGTGGAATGTGACCAGTCAAGTAGAAATCTTGAGTAATCAGATGGAATGCAATCTTTCTAACATTAAGCTACCAAGATCCTGAATGTCAGAGATGTACTCAGAGGGTTAACAGACAAGCACAAGGCATGCTGACTACATTGGTGTATCCAGATTGCTTTGCTTTTAGCCAGTGCTTTCTAATTTTTTTCTCGACATTCTTGGGATAGTTCAAGTTTGAAATAATTAAGTGGTGGTGTTCTTTAAGGAATTTCTATAACCAAATTGATCTTATTTTTGATTTCACTTATCATAGAACAAATATGTATCATTATGGCAGTGTATCTATGTAATTATCAATTTAATCATCACCACAAGTGTTTCCATATTTTTTCCCAAGTATTTAATATAGCTCTCTTATGCTGGTGGCCTGGTGATGGGGACCATCTTTCTTTTACTGACACATGACCAACCATATGGTATTTTCAAGGGAATTTTAAGATTCATCTTTTCAGTTTGATAGTAGACTAGTTAAGGAAGAACTCTTTCATTACTTGCATCGTGTAAATCATCTCTGTAGACATGTGTTCATATTAATGAATACATTTTTTCTCAACATTGTAGCAGAAATCATTTTATTCGTCATGATCAATGAATATGTGATTTGCTCCAGATCGTTAGAAGGAAAAGTAAGATTTCAGTCATCAAAAATGTTTTTACCGTAGCCCTCATCTAACTTACACGTGGTGCATATTAAAATAAACAGAGAAAAAAAATGTGAATAAACTACTGAAAACACTTGGTGTTTTGTGTTCAATGAGACCTTCCTGCAACCTGCTCCCCATGGGTGGCAGTTAACAGGCCCATCAGATATTGTTGAAAGAAAGCAATATATCCATGAATGAAGGCTAAAATTGCAATCCTTTACCCTTTGAGGCATATTTCAGTTGAAAACAAAAAGAAAAGAAAATTTGACTTAGAGGGTCACAGAGCTCCCATATGACCAAGTCTCAAGCACATTAAATCACGGTTGTTTACTGGTCAAGGGCATCCATTAGACAACTCTATCCCTTGCGCTGAAGCTCAATCGTGCTGAGGGAGAGCTTTCTTAATATTACTGTGTTGCTCCTAGCCCTTCTCTGGGTTAGGATCTGTCAGCATTTCTATGATAAACTCCTATTCTCAAAGGTTTTTAATTTGACCATAAAAATATGCCCCAGGCTGAAGTTTGCTATACAGGGCTGTACCAGAGTGAAGGTTTACTTCCTTCTCTTTCCAACTTCTTCCCCATTCTCCGAAGAAAAGAACAACAAAAAAATCTGGTATCATCCCTCCTTAATAGTGATTTCAGAATTTTGAAAAGCACCAAAATCCAAGATGGTAGTTTTAATGTAGTTACCCATTCGGATACGTTTTTTAAATTTAACGGGTCACCTGGCGTATATTGTAGATAACATATCTTTTCTATAATTTGTAAGTCAATAATTTTTTTAACTGCTAGATGATATTTTTTGGTTTTTTTGCCCAAGGATTTTAAAAGACTTGAAGTTGGTCAGTTCAAAACTCAGATTTTTCTACATATTATCTGCCATGCCCATCAGGAGTTTGGGAAAAATATTCTTACACAGACCCTTACTTTGCATGCAGTTTAGAGGGTCAGATATGTGCTTCTTCTGGGGATAGAGATTTCCTTAATTGTCAAGTTTCATGGAGCCATTCTAGTCTGTTGGGAAAAATAGTGATTAAAAGCACTTCCAAAATTAACATTTTTGACAATTCAGATATGATAAGAAGCAGAGGAAAATAACACACTTTACTCTTTTCTTGCTTAAAGGCAAACAAATCAGTGAAACTTGAGGACACACTAAACATTTGATAACTGCAAATGTGCTTTAAAAATTGGTTCAATGGTGCTTATACATGAAACAGTAACAAATGGGGTTCCTGGGACTGTCAGAAGGAATCTTTAGTTTGTATGTAATTACATACTAGAGGAGGAGGTGCTTTTAAGCCTGTCTTTTATTTTTAATCATCTCAAATATGCAACCATTCATCCAGTAACATTAAGGGTCGTAAACCGGTGGGAAACAGGAAATTCAATGGAGAGGCTTAAATGCCTCTGATTAGAGTGGGGGTTTTTGTTTGTTGTTTGTTTATTGCTGAGCTTCAACACTGAGCATCATTTCTGTGATCAAGTTTCTAACTGGCATGTGTTTTGATCATGACATTTACCATATCTTGCCCATACAGACAAATGAGAGATCGAATTTCATTTTTTTCCCTGAAGAAAGAACACTCTCTAAAATTAAATCATACCTGTAAATTTCTTCAGTATTTGTTTCTGTTCAATGAAATTGAGGCCCTTGATGTTGCTTTAATGTAAAGGTGTCTATTTTTGTCTGTGATATACTTTATTAATTTAAAGTAAGTAATAGTTCTAAAGTCTTCACTGTTGCTACTAAGAGAAAATAGAATTTTAAAGGTGATGATAAAGATGCTCTAATGTCATTTCATTCCAGTCCAATCAAATGTAGTGAGAAAAAGTCCTTGAATAGTTCTCTAGGGACAATTTCTCACTTGCCATTGACATTAATCTTTGGTGTATTCTCAGAAAAAAATAAAAAGAAATTGAAACTGGTCCAAGGTTATAGTCATATCCTCGATAACTTGAAAAAAATTTTATTAGGAAATTAATACTGGCCTTTTTCATTCTGGCTGAAAGAAAATTATTAAAGGATTAGTTGAGTGTGAAATTAGCTAGTATTTTGCTCATACATACTAAAAAGGTGGGTAGGACTCGATGCATTTAAACAAGTTTCTGAAAGGTTTCAATTTGACTCAAGAAAAAATTCAACGTTTCCTTTAAAAATTCTGAATTTATCACTTGCTGCATGGATCAGATGACACAGGTTAATCTTTGATTTTCAGAATCCTAATGAAATAACTTTGGAACAATTTGTATCCTTAATTAAAGGTGGAATGAGATCCAATTTTTCCCCCTAATCCTTCAGTTTAAGCTAATACATGTAGGTTAATGTGGAATGAAATCATCTGTGATACAGTATGTTCATTTATCAACTGCGCTTTTTTGATGTTGCCTGTTTTTATGTAAAACATGTTCTTAAAGTTAATAAAACAATAGTACTTGGTGTATGAACTACTACATAATACCTTGGCTGCAGGGTACACTCCTCAGTTCATTTGCCATGTTGGAGTAAAATTTCATCTTAGTTCAATTCATAATTGACACATTCAGTCCACGAAGGAATAGCCCAGCTGTGTTCTTGGGGGGAATTCTCTCTATGCAAGGCTTTAAAAATTAGTCATGCGGTCAGAGTGTAGCTTTCCCACATGTCCTCCATAGCACAGTGTGTATTTCATGAGCATAATTCAAAAACAGCTATTCCAAAAATGTCCCTTTTCATATATTACCTTCCTGCCTGGGCCACTGACTTGGATAAATACAAATAAATCAAATACCATTCAGCCCTATTTTATCCTTCAACCTACGTGCACAGGATCTCCAGAGAAGGGCGTTGTTTTATCCACTAACCTGTAATTAGCTGCCATTTTTGTAGCAATTTCCCATTAGGCATTCCATGTGTAATATTGACCTTAGAGAAAATGGCAAAACCTTACAATGGATTTAAGTTCTTTCCTATTGAGCTTGTCAATGTTAGGAGACTGAAAAGTCAGCCAGCAAAAGTGACTGCAGGTTCCCTGGTGTCCTATGAAGGTGCCAGAATATCTCCAAGTGCTTGTAAAATTAGCAGTCACCTTCCCTGCCGTCCACAGGCTGCTGCCGCAGCTGCTGTTCTCCCTTTTGCTGTACTGTCGTGAAGTCACTAGGTCCTTTCTAGACTCTCTGGCAACTGCTGGGAAACAATAGCTAAAGTGATTACTTCCTAAAGACCATTACCTTGTTTTACGAGGCTGGCAGCTCTGCCAAAAACCTGCCATCGAAAACCTGGGCCTGGGTGGGAAAGCCTCAAGCACAAGTCTGGGATTGGAGATGATAAAATTGCCACATATGGGAATTGGAAAGAAGGACCTTCCGCAATTCCTGGCCTTTTGGATGGGTAGTGGGCAAGGTGGCACTCATTATGTACAGGGAAGGTGGTCCTGGAAATAGAAGTAACTGGGTAACAAACAGGTATAGGAGCATCCTGGAAATGTTCTTATAACATTTCCTAAATGGAAGGAAAGCTGTGCTCTTCCTTCGAAGGTAGCCTGCTCCCCCACACTACCGTCCCCCCCAGCTCCAGGAGGAGCACCAGGGGAAGACGAGAAGCCACACCCAGCCAGCTGGACCGACCAAATCCATGCTGGCCATCAGCACAGTGACAGATGTCCCAGCCAGCTTGCCTGCACTTCCAAATCATTCATTTAAATGTTTCTTGAGCGAGTGCCAACAACATGGAAGGCACTTCATTTGAGCCTAGAAAAGAGAAACTTCGTTCTCCATGTTTATTTTCACTATAGATCAGAAGACTTTAAAGACAGGAAAATATATCTCAAGCTGGAAGGCTTGCCATTTCTTCTGAGACTCTTAGTCCAGGGTTCAGCTGATGTACACACCCACATGTAGCAAGTCCTTGCATGTATGGCAACTTCCAGTCTCTAACTTGAGGCTGTGTGTCTACCATCTGCCTGTTCGATGGTACATGCACCCCATGGTACTCTTGGCTTGACTCCTGGGATCTGAGCTGGGAGGCTTTCCCGAGTCCTCTCTGCCATCTCTAATTACTGAGATTTTACCTCTTGTCACGCACTAATATTGCACTATGTCCATTAACCCAGCAAGCGTTAGCAAGGACCTACGATGGGTGATGTACTGTGGAGGCTGAGATAAACAAGCCACAATGCCTGTTCTTAAGAATTTCCTTCTAGTGAGAAATCTTTTACCCTGGATGTTCACAGGGTGGGACGACTCATTTATCACTCACAGATGGCAGAACTCCAGTTTGTCAGGGGCACAGCATCACTACCAGCCTGAGACTGGCTCTCAGCATGTGGAGACCGTGCGGGCTGCTTGCAAGCCAGCCATCAGTCACATGCAAATACACTTGTGGCCCACTCTATTACAACAATTCAAATGTCACCCTTAGTAAACCCCTAGAAGGAAAAAGAAAGAGAGAGGAAAGAAAAGAAAGAGAAGGAAGGAAGGGGGAACAAAGAAAGAGAAGGAAGGAAGGAAGGAAGGAAGGAAGGAAGGAAGGAAGGAAGGAAGGAAGGAAGGGGGAAGGAAGGAAGGAAGGAAGGGGGAAAGAAGGAAGGAAGGGAGAAGGAAGGAAGGAGAGAGAGAAAAAAAGAAAGAAAGAAAAAGAAAAGGAAAGAAAGAAAGGAAAGAAAGAAGAAAGAAAGAAAGAAAGAAAGAAAGAAAGAAAGAAAGGAAGAAAGAAAGAAAGAAAGAAAGAAAGAAAGAAAGAAAGAAAGAAAGAAAAGAGAAGGAGCAAGAAAGAAGGCAAGGAGGGACGGAGGAAGGGAGCAAAGGAGGAAAGGAAGAACTAAAGGCTGAAGAGACAAAGTTTCCACAGTCTTAAAACTGGGGTACCATTTGGAATGTTTAAAAGGAAGGGAAATATCAATGTCTCCCAAAGTGTGTTCCTCAAAACCAGTCCTGGGAGATGCTGTGTGGGAATCATGGAACACACTTCGGTATGAGTTTGACATGGGTCTTGATCTCCTCCACATTTTCCATCCATGAGTACAGTCTCCCTGTGACAGGGTGAGTGATAATAAGATGTCATCAATGGCTCTATCCATGCATTCTTGTTGGAAGCAGGAGGTGGAGCCTTTCCCAAGAATCTTCTAATTCTCACACGTCATCATCCATTCTTTCCCGGACTTTCAAAATTCTCTTGGAGAACCTATTCTCCACCACCTGGAAGGATATACCCTGAACCTGTACTACTAAAAGGAATTTTAGCCTGGGGAAGCCCTCCCCGACACCTCCCTCCCCATGCCCTCCCCACCATCTGTCACGTAGGAGAGTCATCTGCTCCCACCTCCAGCAAGTTCCTGTCATATGCCCCCGTCCCCCTGCTGGATCTGGGGCCACACAGCAAAAGCCCTAACCACTGCCTCTCCCACACTCACGGGCCTGTGTGAGAAAGAAGTAGAGAGTTGCCGTCCAGCATGACCAGGGTCGAGACGGCGGAATGCCCAAGACAGACACGTGGGATCACTTTGGAAGGTCATCTAACTGCCATGGGCAATCAGAAGCTTTCTGAAGAAAGTGTCCCTGAGAGAGGGCCTCAGAGATGAGCAGGAATCAGCCAAGAGAAAGAGGAGGAAGGCATTCCAAGCCATCGGAACAAATGGTGCAAACACAGAGAACACAGAGGCGCTCAGAATCTGCGAGATGGAGGCTTCAAGTCAGCCCCAACAAGGCCAGGGTAGAGTCCAGTGAATTGGCCCATCACCTGGCTGTGCGAATGTGCTCAGGATGGGGTAGGCAGCTGTAAAAATGAAACGGTGCCCAATGCCAGGTCCCAGGGCTGGCGAAGGAGGAAGTGGGGCAGGGAGGATGGCTCTTGAGGGAGCACTAGAGATCCCAGGCCCTTCTGAAATACTGTGGGTTCCAATTGCTCCTTCACAGCAATAGCAGAGGGCCACCTCCTTGTGCAAACAAAGGAGCTAGCCGTGGGTTAATCCTTTCCTAATGCATAGTACCTCCTGCTCACAAAGCTTATTAGTTCACCACTCACGGGGAAAACCTCGTTCTCTCCTATGTTGTTCTGAGAAGAGAGACAGAGAGGAGAGAGAAATCCACTGACCCTGAAAATATTTCTCTCCCTCCTTCTTCCTGGACAAATCCACATTGTCACCTTTCCCTTGCAGCAGGGCGATAATTTATGGTCCACCTGAGAGAGGTTTTGTTATTCCATCAGAATTACCTATTAATTTGCTGGATTCTTCTGATTAAGCAGTGAACTTGTCAGCGCGGCTGGCTCATGGTTCAGAATATGAAATATCCTTTCATTTTCAACAAGTAAATCAAAGTCCAAACCAACCCAGACATTTGCAATTTCTTCTCTTGACTAGTCTCCTCTATTCCTACTGTCTCAGATGTTCCATTTTTAAATAACATTTTCTAAGTTCTCTGCTATCTTTCTGAGCAAGCCTTTTTTTTTTCTTCATGAAAAGCTCCTTGTTTCTACTTACTTTATAAAGGAAGGTAACAGTTCACTTTGGTTTCTTAAATTGGAAAACTGAAAATGTTCTGCTCAGGATGGAAGGGAAGCCTCATCCTAACATATTTGTCTGCTGATTTGCTCAAAGGACTTCTCCTGCCTTGTGATTTTGTAGGTTCTCCTGAAATGCCCACACTTCAATATGCTTTTCTGCAAAAATCTTGCTCAGAGGCATGTGTGGCTTAATCCTGCCGCCTCTCAGGGTCTTCTTACAACAGAGTGTTCCGCTCTCAGTAAGTTTCATCAGAAAAAACCTGATGAAAACCCAGCAAGGGGAGAGAAACAAGGAGCACCTGCGTAACCCGAGTCTTCCCAATGCCCGCAGATGCGTTCAGAAGGGTGGAGACAGCCGAGAACTCTGGCCCTGGATGATCCAGCTGCCAGAGCGATGCCTGTTCACTGCTGGGCTTTAACGATCTTCAGGATCGGTGGATCAGAGCTTCCACGGCCCCGCCTAAAACCAGAGTCCAGGGGGCAGTGGGTGCCCTTGCGCCTAAGTGATCACTCCCATTAGTCACACTCTGAGGATTGTCCACCTCAGCTCTGTCTCCAACCTGTCAGCAGGACTTGCTCCAAGGTATAGAAACTTTCCAGGCAAAAGAGAGACCAGGGTCTCACTGGGCCAAGCCAGGCCCTAACTGCTGACAACCTGCCTCCTCCTAGCGCCTAGTTCCACTCAGCTGTGTTTTAGCAAAAACAGCCAGGTAAACCACTGGCAGTCCAAGTTCAGTCCCTGGTCTTAACCTGCTGTCCTCCCCCGAGGCACGTCCACTGCCTGAAATCCATGCAGCTTCTCCACCATAAGCACTCATGGTCTCACCTCCCCTTAATGTGGCTCTAAATCCAAACTGGCCTCTGGGCAAACTCTGGGCTTGGCCACCTCTGTGCCTCTTCAAGTCTGGAGATTTGGGAATGATCCCCAAAGTGAATTTTCGCAGTAGGGACCACAGGCCCCTA